GTGGCTCTCCAGATAATCTAAATCCCATCAGCTGCCAACCAGCATGGCCAATGGTCAGAGAAGACAGGAGGAGTAATCCAATGGCATCCTAAAAACCACAGGCTAGCTACCTCTGCTATACTAAGTTAATCCTAGTTCTGGAGACTACCTTCTAAAGTGGGGACAAGGAACTTGAGGTCTTCCAGTTGCTGTTGGACTACAACCCCCATCAGCCCTGTCCATTACTCATGTTGGCTGGGGCTGATGGGAGTTGGCATCCAACAGCACAAGAAGGACCATGGGCCCCCCATCACTAACATATTCAGAACCACAGACTGGACCTACACACTGGCTACTCCCTTGGTGGCTCAGTGAATGTTCAGAAGGAGCACGACACAATCCAACCAGTTAAGCCCTGTAAACTGCCTGCATAGAAGATTACCGCAGAACCCCATGTTAACTATTCTGAGCTCTTCAAATGAAGATCAAAGCATGTGTGTAATAAATAAAGTGGATAAGAAGGTCAAGGTCCCAAATGCAATGCCTCCAGCAGAGATAACCCCTACCCACAACCCCACTCTCAGCGAGGTTCTGTAGCGAAGGCCAACAAAATGAAAACAGACATTGCTGATTACGCAGCTGCACTGCGGCCTTCTTAAAAAGTACTGTGACTCAGGTCAGCATTTCTATTAACTTTCTGCAACCCCTTCCCACTGCTTCTGCGACCTCACAGTCCGTAATCTGGGAAACACGATGGTCATCCCACAGAAGCAGGCAGCCGTGCTGCCTCATTGTACTGTCCACATCAGGTACAGGTAGTGGATAAGGAAAGGTGGGGGAAATACAGTCGTTTGTGAAATTCCAGAACCAGCTTATCAAAAATCCAACACATAAAGTCCAAGTACATTATGGGAAATTAGAAATTAGACAAGCACCTTCACTCCCTTAAAATAATAATAATAATAATAATAATAATAATAATAATAGTTTTATGTATGTATGTATGTATGCATGCATGCATGTATTTTCCTGTTGCTCTTCTGAAAGTGGCCTACAATTCATAAGGCACTCACAACAATCAGCAAATAGGAGGCAGAAAGCACAGCAACTGTCTGAGACAGCCATGTGTTCCACTTTCCACCAATAAGACCTATTTGCTGTGCAATGTGAAAGACCAGAAAACCCCAAGTGCAATGTGCCTCTGTAGACCAAGGGTTGGCAAGGTTTACCTCGCCTGGGCTGGTTCACTCCAGCGGAGATCCCTCCGTGGGCCGGATTGATTGAGCACGCATGCCCGTGATTTCCGGCATCTGCTATTTCTGGTGCTGCGGAAGCGAGTCTACACGCCGTGCTGTGCCAGTTTAGTGAAGTGCATGGGGACTCCCTGAGAAGGCAGCTCAGTTTGGGGGGGGGCGCTTGTGGCCCATGGGCCTTAGGTTGCCGACCCCTGCTGTAGACGAAGCAAAACGGCAAAGCGAAAAGCAACTATGCTCCAATGCCTTGCCGCCAGGTGCTTCTAAGTACACCAAGCACCAACCAAGGAAAGCCGGTAAAGCACAAGTCCAATTTGCTCAAGTGCATTGCCATGCTTTCCAATAGGCACAGCCTCTCCATGATAACATGGCGCTCCTGGAAATGCTGCTGCGAAGAAGAGGGCAGCGGGGAAATAAATGAAGCAGTGGTTGGAGGATCATTACTCGCAGACCCCATGGGATTTCTCCACGAGAACAGGCTGGGTTGGGAACAAGGTCTAAAAGCATGCAGGGAGCCTCCACAATTATGGAGTCTCTGCTTTCCACTTCTGATAGCCAGCCTGTTCCCACCCCACTCCAATTTGTCTAATTAACATATAGTATGGGTTGTACGATCACGGCTAGGTTGCCACTGTACAGTGGTGCCTCGCAAGACGAAATTAATTCGTTCTGTGAGTTTTTTCATCTTGCGAATTTTTCGTCTTGCGAAGCACGGTTTCCCATACCCTGGGTATTAACGGTTACCCTGGGTATTAACGGTTTTAAGAAAAAGGAAACAAACTTGCAAGACGTTTTCGTTTTTCGTCTTGCAAAGCAAGCCCATAGGGAAATTCGTCTTGCGAAGCAACTCAAAAAACAAAAAACTCTTTCGTCTTGCGAGTTTTTTGTCTTGCGAGTTTTTTGTCTTGCGAGGTACCACTGTATTTTAAAACAGCCTTGTGTATCTTTCCATTCCATGCAGCTCTGAATAACAAGTGCACAGGCAGAAAGATGTATCAAAAAGAAACATGCTGCATGAAAGTTTTTCTCCTTCTTCCCAAAGCCACTTCTGTGGTCTGGATGACATCCATATTATAGATCAAAGAATGCCAGGAACTTCTAGTTTATACCCAGGGCCGTCTCAAGCATATCCGGCGTCATGGTGCAAAGCTCCCTCCGGTGCCCCCCTCCAATTTCCCAGAGTTTTTTTAGGGAGGATGGTGCTGCTGGCAGGGCTGGAGGAAGCGGGCAGCGGCTGGAGGGCAGCTCCTCTGGTGGGGAACAGGCTGGACGCGGCGCCTCCCAGCTCAGCTGGCCGCTTCGTGCCATGGTGGCTATGGCAGATGGAGGCTCCGGGCGCGGCGCTGCTTCGGCATGGCATGGCGGAGGTAGGCGAGGGTGGTGAGCTGATGCTGGGAGGTCCAGCCTCCGCCTCTTCCCTGGCGCCCTCCAGAACTTGACGCCCTGGCGCCCCACACCACTAGCCTCTATGGATAAGATGCCCCTGTTTACACCTGACAGAGAAACAATTCCTGTAGCCTTGGTGAACTACAGTTCCCAGGATTCTTTTAGAGAAGCCATGCACTTCAAATGTGCTTGAAACGTGCAGCATGGATGTGATCCAAATTGAAACACAATGAAATTTACTCCACTTGGAACCTCTATGGCACATCAGCTTCTGAAACCCTACCCTCCGCTTAGGATGGAAGCAGATGACAGCAATCCAAGAAACATTTAAAAATGTAAAAATGTCTAAAAATATACAAGCACAAGCCAACTGACAACTAAAATAACCTTAGACCCAATCCAACTGCCAACTGCCATCTTAAATGAAAATGTTCCTCTGGAAAACACCCATGGCTCTGGTTCTGACAGCTTTCCAAAGGAAGTAAGTTCTACAGTTGGGGAACAAGACCTCTCTTTACAAGCTTTCACTGCTCATCATCACCATTCATTTATTTGCAGGGCACTTTCCCACAAGATTGTGCCAAAAGCCACAACAAATCAAATGCAATAAATATAACAAATCCAATACAAGTAATAGGAACAATCACAAATAACCATAGCGTTAAGTAAGGAAATACACATGAAAGTAGAAATCCACAGGATACTGTACACAGCAATACAAATAAGCTGACCAGATCCAGCAACTTAAAAACAAAACAAAACAAATTTAAAAAAACACCTTCTCCAACCTTGTGCCCCAAATCACGCCATTATCGAAGAAGTGTGCAAGTTAAAAACAACTGGATGTGAATGAGACAGAACATACACATTGTTGATGTATTTGGAAACTGCATGGTGCAAGGAACAACTTGTGTGCCATTCAACTGCAAGGCTTAAATTTTTAATTTGTTGTTTTTTCACACTGGGGGAGATTAAAATAAAAGGCAGGCAGCCACGAGGGAAGGACTATTGCTCTTTGAATGTGTTATCTGTAGTCGTTCAGGCTTCCAGGAGGTTTGGCTGAAGGTGGATGGAACTCTTTTTTTTGGGGGGGGGGAGGGTGTTTTGGAGGGGAGGGGGAGTTGCTGTGGCAGAACTATATTATGTTGCTCCCTAGGAGGTGAAGCAAAACAATAAAGAACACTTAATCTCTTCTCTAATTCTGCTCTGCGGGGCAGCTCCTTCAGCCAGCAGTACCAGGCTCTGTCTACCTGGGAAGGGGTCATTTTCCTTCCGCTTCCCTCCATCCCAGGGAGTGCTGTGTACCCCTGCTGCATCTTTCAATGGCTTTATCAGAGCTTGCACCAAGTCGAGCGTGAAAAGCAGCTCTGGGCTCAGCAGGCAAGAGGTGGTGTGCGTCTGTGAGTGTGTATATGTGTGTGTTGTATGGGTTTGTGGGGTGGGGGAGAGAGGGAGAGACCGCAGGAGGAAATGTTATTCTGTCCTTTGTCTTTTCAACAATTTCTCTCTCTCTCTCCCCCCCCCTCTTTTTTTAATGCAACTTGCAGGGAAACGTATAATTAGGGGTCTTGCCGAGCAGGCTTAAACTCAGGAGTAACCCTTCTAAGGACCTCAGCAATGGATAATCAGGTGCGCGGCTGTGGGGCTCAGCACGCCTCCCCACCCGCAGAGCATCTCGGCCTCGTAATTAGAAGCCTCCACACTCCGCTGCATAAAGGCAGATTGCGACGACAGCGTGAAGTCCTTGTTTGAAGCTTGGGGGCACTAGGATTTCTGCTGCCTGTGATGGAGAGAAACAAAGAGACTCCAGCACAAATGGAAAGCTTTCAGCAGCCTCAGAAATACTTGGCAGTGAGGATGTCAAATTTTTTTAAGGGGTGTTCTTTGGAGGACCAAAGATCTCGCACGTTTGCTTCCTTCCATTCTAAATTCCTTCACAGCCTGTTAAAAAAGGGGATGCCACTCTTCAAATCCCCCCCCCCTATTTTAACCAGGGCAAAAAATCATCCCCCCACCTCCACACTGTTCCAACCAGATATCATATCCATCTCTTAATTCCTAGAGAATGAGGAAAGCATCCACACATTTCTGCCAAAGCCTAGAGAAACTCTCTTTTGCTCACCAAAAGATTTAAGGACCGAAAAATCTCTGGGAAACTGCTTTGAGGCTTTCAGCCATATTTTTTTTAAGCAAGTGAGAAAACCTGCCAATCCATGAACTTCAGGGAAATTCTGGGAGCCCAGCTAGAAGAGATATTTTGTTGGCCTGCACTGATGCTACAAATATGCATGTTTTAGACAATTTCCTGGCTCACTCCTTACACATGATTCCACTATGCAAGTAAGGGTGCCAAACACTGGAAGCACCTCTGATAAACGGGAAGGTCCATAGTTAAAAGGTAAAGTATTTGCCTGGTGTGCGCAAGAGCCTGGGTTCAATCCCCAGCATCTCCAGGTTGGGCTGGGAATATCCTCATTCTGAAACCCAGGACAGCTCCTACAGCCAGTGCAGACAACACTGAACTAGATGGGCCAATGGTCTGACCAATGGTCAGTACAAGGCGCCTTTCTAAGTTCCTAAATACTTCCTGTAGAATGTTCCCTGTTCATGATTCCCAACACTCCATTCCATTTCTGCCCCAGCCCTACAACCAGTCAGGATTCCATATCTACTGAGCGTGCTCAGTCTTCATAGTGCTGCTCCGATGCTGCCCACCCCAAGGGCTTTTCGCCTTTCCATCTCTCTGCCCATCACAAGCCTTGGTGCCACCCCCCCCCGAGTCTGCTGATACCTCTCCATCTTGGGTATGCATGGTGTTGCTTTGCCTACAACATGGGTAGGCAAAATAAGGCCCGGGGGCCGAATCCGGCCCAATTGCCTTCTAAATCCGGCCCACGAATGGTCCGGGAATAAGCTGTTTTTACATGAGTAGAATGTGTCTTTTTATTTAAAATGCATCTCTGGGGTATTTGTGGGGCATAGGAATTCATTCATTCCCCCCCCCCAAAAAAATAGCCCGGGCCCCCACTAGGTCTGAGGGACAGTGGACCGGCCCCTTGCTGAAAAAGTTTGCTGACCCCTGGCCTACAAGAAGGCTAGCATTCAGGACAGACCAAAGGAAAACCAAGTTTCTTGACACAGTGCATAGTTAAAACTATGGCATTCACTCCCACAAGATGCAGTGATTAGACATATTCATGGAGCTAAAGGCTGGCAACGGCTACTAGCCTCTGTGCCAGTTGATGGGATTCACTGTTAGAACAGAATGTTGACCTATGACAGGTATTGGGCAGCGTTCAAAATCTCCCAGGCACCAGGTGAGTTTTGCAACTGGTGCAGGTCCAACTGCAACCACATGGAGATCTCTGGATGCCATCTCTGCATGGCAACTAACATTTTCACCTGGCTGGCATCTCCAGCTTTTTTAGGCAGGTAAGCAGAAGAGCTTATTTACTGCATTTATATCCCATCTTTTTCTCCAAGGAGTACATCCTTCACCCCCTCCACAGTTAATCCCTACAACAACCCTGTGAGGTAGGTTAAGAGGCTGTGAAAGACTCCAAGGTCACCCAGTGAGCTTCATGACTGAGTGGGGATTTGAACCCTGATCTCCCAGGTCCTACTCTAACCACTGCATCACACTGGCTGCCTAGAGTACTTCTGCTATGGGGCAGTTATATAAATTAAGTAGGTAAATAAATGTGGGGAAAGGAAAATGTCACTTAGAGACGGGTCTGAAATATTTTCCTTGAAGCTTGAATTTGTCTTATTCTGGATTGTTTTATTTGGTGTATTAAAGCATTGTAAACTGCTCTGAATTGTTTTTTCTTCAAAATACAAAGTGGTGTTGAAATGAAATGAATGAAAACAACAACAACTTTAATTGTAAAAAATGGCACCTAAACATTCTGTTATGGCTACCATGACCTAGGTTTAAGGTGCCATTTGGCGGTTAGCTTATATATCTGAGTTTCTAACAATGGACTCTTTGGCCAGATCCAGCAAGGTTCTTCTCAGGTTCCTAAAACTTCAATTACAGTGGTACCTCAGGTTACATACGCTTCAGGTTGCAGACTCCACTAATGCAGAAATAGTACCTCGGGTTAAGAACTTTGCTTCAGGATGAGAACAGAAATCACGCGGCGGCGGCGCAGCAGCAGTGGGAGGCCCCATTATCTAAAGTGGTGCTTCAGGTTAAGAACAGTTTCAGGTTAAGAACGGACCTCCGGAACAAATTAAGTACTTAACCCGAGGTACTACTAGTATATAGAATAATGTTTTCATTCTGCAGCCAAATCCTCAGCCCAAGGCCCCATCTAAGGCTGCTCAACGGCCTTCAGCCCAGTATGTTTTTTAAAAAAGAAAAAGTCTTTGGCTCACTTAGGATTCATTTCAGACAGAGCGACGAGTATAAGCCGGCAGGCAAAGCTAGTGGAAACCCCAATGGACAAACAATGAAAGAAATATGGCAAGGGCCACAAGAGGCACGACTGGGTCTTTCCAGGGGGTGAAAGCAGCCTCTCAGAAACATGAGGAAAGCTTGCCATTCTGAAGTGTTGTGTGCTTTTCTCGCTTGGCATGAAATTGCTGGGTTATTTCCTTGGTATGTGAAAAGGAAATTGAAGGTAGAGCCTAGGTGGCTTTGCCGGGGACATCTGCAATGTGTCTGGCCAATTCCCAAATTCAAGCTCTTGTGAATACCCATTTGTAGATATTTAAAGCCTAGGAAGATCATTAAGCAAGCTAATAGAGCCACTAGCAAGGGAGTGCTAACTTGGACTCGCTAATGTGTCTCATTCCTGAATAATGAAAGGGCAAAAGTATCCACAGACGCCTATCTGGCTACCACTGAAATTGCTATCACAGGGGAAAGTGCAATTTGAGTCTGCTCCCCAGCCTCCCTCTTTCCTCTTGACTACCACAAGGCTACAATACAAGAGAGCTATTCTCAACTCTATTTCTTATTCTGCCTTCACTGCACATATTCTCTCTCTCTCTCTTGCTGACATTTTGTATTCATAGCTTGACTCCTGCAATCAAACACATAAGAATAAAAAAAGAGCCCGGCTACATCAGACCAAGTGGTTCATCTAGCCCAGCATTGTGTTTTCCACAGTGCTCGGCCAGATGCCTCTACAAAGCCCCCAGGGCATGAAGGCAGGACCCCCAGCCCCCTGCTGGCTGCTGAAGCTGACCACATGATCAAGTTAAATTCCATGAGTTTGTTTAATCTCCTTTTAAGCTTTCTAAACTAATGGTTAAAGCCATATCTTGCAAAGGGATATGCATGCATGACAACATGAAAAGGGAGCCATCCCATCTGCACCCTTAAAATTCCAACTCAATGGCAGGAATCGCTCTATCTGGCCTCTGGGACTCTCTATCTGGCCCTTGGGATTATCCCTAGGTCATATCACCCCTCTCCCCAGGCGGCATCCCTCTCCAGCACATGCTCCTTGAGAGCAATTATTCATTCAATTCCATTCCTCATCAGACAAGATCGCAGATAGGTGCATATGGTAAAACAGAGTTAATAATAAATAATCATTAACATACAAAACCCGTCCATACGAAATCATGATCCTAACACTGTTTATAGTTTTCTTTAGCTTTCACCTGGGGAAATAAATAAAGAAATAAATGCACTGCAGACATCTCATCCATTAGACCACTGGATCAGACCACGAGCACTACCACCAAGCAAATATATGGTAAAAGATTAAGAAATGAGTCCTCAAAGGCCCGTTTGGGTTCAAAGTGGGTCCTGTGTCTGAAAAAGTTGAAGATACTTGCATTAGAAGCAGCTTACTCTGGCACAGAGGCCAGATTTTCCCTGGCTGGAATGTGTGCTTGAACTGCAAAACAGTGACTCCCATCTGCCTGGATGGAGGGGTGTGCGTGCACAAACACACACGCACCTGTAGGCCAGGAGTAGAATCAAATATGCAATTCCATTCCAGGAGTGTGGAACATTTTTTTCACTCTGCTACAGTAGGCTGCATCCAGCAGTTTCTAAACACAACTTTTCACCATCCAAGCAAGCATGAGTTTCTAAACACAACTTTTCACCATCCAAGCAAGTGTGAGGACACATTTCAGCCAGGCAAGCACTCAAGGAGGAGGTGGAGCAGGACCTATGAGGGGTGTGGCGTGGGAAGAGTCCCAAGGGCCAGACAAAAATGATTTGGGGGCCGCATTTGGCCTCTAGGCCTGAGGTTCTCCAACTTCGTTCTGCTCTGTGGAGACTCATTGATCCCCAACCTACACACAATGGTTTCAATTTACTTGAACAGGTAGCCTTTCTCTACCCACACTCCCGCTTTTCAACATTGCTTCTGTATCAATAAAGGCAAGCAATGCCAAATTAAAAACCACAATACGGAACTTTGTGAACCTCTCCAGATGAATTGGAGCCGGCAAGCATCCCAGAAGGCTTATAAAGATGCAAGTTCATGCTTTCTCCTGTGCTGTCTTCTCCTTCAGTTAAGTGTGTGTCGCTTGTAAAAAAACGACTTAATAATTAATTAATTTTTTTATTACGTAATAGCTCTGCAGAGCTCATATTTTCCCCCATTCCCATCTCTGTTTCCTTCCCCCCTATAGAATTCTGGCTATAATTTGCAGCACTAAAGAAATATAGTCATTAGAATAGTTTCCCAAGAATTTCCATATAAGGCCTGACCATGGTAGTGACATCAGGGCAGGAGTTTGGGGCAGGAAGCCAAGGCGACGCTCAGCAAGAGGGTCCCCAAACACAGCAGGGTGAGCTTACCATAAGTGAAGTAATATGCATTACCACACATTGCTCTGGCCCATAAGACCACTGTCCAGAGTCTAAAATTACATAATTGCACCACTAATTCACCTCAGCTATGATGTTGCATCCCCTTAGCTTAGTTTATGAGACCAGATAAATTACAAATATTGTCAGCCAGCATAAGGGTTCCTGCATTAGTGGATAGATGAGTTTGTTGTGCAGCAGAGGAATGCAGTACATCAACTGCACTAGTTGAAATGTGTTGTGCAACTAAGTTAGCAGCAATCTGTGTATACATTTTCTTTCACAACAACGTTCTGCTGGTGCAAAAGGTTTCTCCAGCAGAACACTAAATGACTAACTTAGCACAACACTGGAGACAACCCAGAGTAATCTGTCCTCTTCCATTAACATGCTTCTTTGGATGGTCACAGGCTATCTAGAGATCAAATTGCCATCTTGGAAAGTGGCAACTAATGGTCTTAAGAGATTTTGCCTCATTTGACACTGACAAGAAGTGGTTTTTTAAAATGGGGTTTGCCTATTACAAAGTGTGCTTATTATAGGGTGGAGACTTGTAAAATGACCATGTTGTTCCCTTGGCCTTGCTAAAATGTCCCCCTCCTGCTCTCACTACTTTTGTCATTGAAGTCAACGCCAGAAAATGGGTACGCAATCTGATGCACTCTGGATGTT